TATACATACATATATATATATATTTGTATGACGCTGTTACTAGACTGTTGAAGTGAATTTAGTCCACATTAAAATTTTAAAATTTAATAATAGTAAATGGTCTTTATTTTAAAATTATGTCGAATAGACATAACCTATGCACATACATACATACATATGTGCATATATCTTAAATTAAAACAAAATGATAGCAAAATATTTATTTAAACTAAAACTTAACATGGAATTCATTTGGATCACTTAAAACATACATACACCCATCAGAATATGTTTCCGTACAGTGTTTTTTTTTTGTTAATGTTTCCAATGTTTTGCATTATAAATTTTTTCGTTATTTTTTAATAGAAAAATAGTTCATTCTGCATCAAAAAGCATATAAGTAAATGTTTCAAAGTTTTTACAAAATTTTGGAAAATTAGACAAATTTTCACCAAAATTTTCAGCTTTTAAACTAAATTTTTTTAGAATTTTGTTTGAGTATGCAGTTTTGTAGTTCACTTAATTTCAGTACAATAAAGTGCAAGTTTTAAATGGCTATGATGTTGCTCATTTTCTCCATATAACGAGTGCCTGGTAGTTTTTTTGTATGGGAAAAAATGCCGAAGAGCGTCAGTAAAAAATTCTCAAATATCAACGGTAGCTCATTGCCACTTAAAATGTCTGCTTTGTTATTCTGAAATTGAGAACTACAAAACTGCATACTCAAAAAAATTCTAAAAAAAAATGTTAAAAGCTGAAAACCATGAAACCATGAAACCATGGCATTGTAATTAACAAAAGAGCCTCCATCAGTTGACTGTTAAGTATATTTAGGTACAGATATTTAAAATAAAATGAAACCTGTAGATACGTATATACATTAATAAAAACTTACCTCATTTATATTTGCCATAATGTCAAAAATTTCTTTATTATTAATTATTAGTTTAATATTTATTACCCACAAAAGACCTACAGCACGATGCTGCTATTGCGCTTGACTAACAGCACTTCAGCAAAAAAAGGCTACGCTTGACATGTAATACTCTCAAATACTCGTTTATTTGAAGGTAAAAATGCGAAACAGAGAGCATAGGAAAGAAAATAAGAGATACTCCGTTACACCAATGGTAATGAGCATTCCATTCGCCAAATATTATACTCCCGCTCATTCGCATTCTCTTGCTGATATCGTTTGCAAACCTTGTACATGTTATGAGAGTAAAGAGAACGACCGAAAAAGCAAATGCATTCTCGCAGCTGTATAGTACATATGTATGTACATATTATATAACAACTAGCTTACTTTTTACTAGCTATTATCTAGTACGCGTCCATTCATACGAGTACCTACAAACATACTAAAATACATACAAACATACATACCTACTAATGTTTGTATGTATGCACTTTTCTAAGTATGCAAGTGTTCATTTGTCCCAATTAACAGTTACTTACTATTTATATTTTCGTACATATCACAAAGACTCACTTGCAATGTTGCTTCTCTTCCCCTTCCCCATCCGCTTCTTCTTCTTCTTCTTCTTTTCCCTACCTACACTATACTCTAATAATGCAAATCTAAATGGGTCTCGCCTAGCAGACTATTTGTAGATTTCATAGGTTCTTTCATCACGAAATTCCCATTCCGCAATGATTCTTGCGTTATGCATTCTTCCAGCTTCACATCGTCATTACAGAAGATCAGCTTGTCAGTGGCTTGTATTAGTTTCTGTTTTTCCGCTTCTAGCCGGTATATGATGAGGAGCGGTCCACTACCCACTTCCGATGGAGTCAAATCGTCTGGAAGTTTTGAGATCCCTTGCGCCGCAGTAAAATCGATGCCGGCGATCTTGTGACAATCCATAACCACAGGCAGACTGAAGTTGACGCGTTCGCATGCTTTCAGCACTTTGGCGCGCAAATGATTGATGGCGGGGAAATAGATGACGCCAGTGGGCGTGACGCGTATGAATTGTAGCTCATTTACCTGTAAAGAGTGTATCAGTTAGAAATTGAAAAAAAAGTCTTCCTATCTCCTCTTACCTCTTCTACATGCACTGAGATCACAGGATGCGCCCATAGGAATAGTAAGTGTAAGACTGTCACTATAATACTGACTAGCAGGCCCACTTCCACGCCGCATAGGATGCAGACCGTAAAGCACAGCACCCACACGCAGAAATCTCGCTTAGCATCGCGCCACAAACGCCGTGGTAGCTGCAGATCCAGCAAAGTTACGATGGAGCACATCAAAATGGCGGCAAGCGTTGATTCGGGTATGTAGTTGAAGTAGGGACTGAGAAAGCCCAAAGCCAGTAGCACAATTACACCTGCGCGATATCGGAATATATTAGTACGAAGAATTACTGAATTGTGATAGCCAAACTCACCCAGGTACAAATTGGCCATTGGAGTTCTGAGTCCACAAGCGTTGCTGATGGCATAACGCGAGAAGGCGCCTGATACGGGCATAGATTGTACGCAGGAACCGGCAAGATTGCACAGACCGACGGTGATCAATTCCTTGTTAGCATCAACCATGCCCTTAGGAGCTGTGAATGACCGAAAAAGAGGAAGGCACATTTTAGAAGGAATGTAAAATACAAACGCTTATAGTAGTTTAGTTTATATTGAATACTGGTTCGGTACGTTCTACGTGTTGGCAGAAAGGCCGCGGATATTTGCTTATCGTTATGCTTTTTTCATCGGGGTTTGAAGGTTTTCCTTTATTTGCTTATTCTTGAGGCATTGAACCGGAAACTTATTGCTAATGATCAATTGCATTGCCTTGGCACGGGGACCCACTTCAATTTCATAGAATTGCTGTCGACTGTGGAATAATATACAGACAATGCACTGATTATAAGATGGAGTGGATGTAGTCTTCAGGGTTCTTCTCCCATCGAGAGCAGGCTGGCTCCAAAAAGGAACGCGAACTTAACGCAGGCATTTTCTATGAATCACAGGTGGTGGGAAGATCAATCCATATACCTGACTTTGCCAGTATTTTTGCCATTGACTGCTATGGCTCTGGTATGAAAACGACTCGCCCAGGCGTGTTGCCTTCGGCGGACGTTTTAGAGCGACCGGTAATAGGAAATCGATTCGATGGCAATATTACCGGCAATAAATTTGTTTTCGAGGGCGACACGTTTTCTTATTGCCGGCAACACAAATTGTTTGGTGGGTTGCTTCATAGTGAATACAAGCAATACAAAAAAAAAAGTAATGCCACCATAATATTTTAATGCCAGCCTTCCAAAGTATCGCCAAACTAATAAACTAATACTAAATAATGAACAAATTTGACTTAAGTGCCTTTAAGATGCCACGTAATTACTTTTACTCCACTTGAGAATGCATTACTCGAACAAGACGCTAGATCTAGACGATAACTAGTTTTATTTACTCTTACACATACATACATGTGTACGTACTCGTGGATAGGCTATTGATAAGGCGAAGTGGGTGCTAAGTGCATACTCATTCAGGTTTGAGGCGGTTCANAAAAAATATTCGACGAACTGATAACCTCCTACTTTTTTTGAAGTCGGTTAAAAATAAAAGATTATCGTTAGTTTCTTCATGACCAAATGATCGGATTTAAACCAAATTAGTATGAGACCACCCTTGAGATGGAAAAAAGAATTATCGAAATCGGTTAACGTGGTGGTAAAGTTATGCGGCACCATACATTAAAATAAAAAAAATATTCCGACGAATTGATAACCTTCTCCTTTATATCAAGTCGGTTCAAAATATATATACATATATGTATTTAAACCCAAAAAAATTTTGCAATTTAGGCCTACAGTAGCATGGTTGAAATATTTTGGTTCTGTCACTTTAAGTTCTTTGTCGCTTTCGCACGTTTGTGTCGGAGATTGCGAAATATTAAATTTTTCATTGCAGTTTTTTGGTTTTTTTATGTTATATGGGGGAAATTTGACGCATTTGAGCGACAAGTAAACCTTAACAAATAAAGATAAAACTTTGAATGTAGCTTTCTGTAATAAGGTTGCATGAATTGCGAGTTGTTCCGGGAAATTTGGGGGAAAATTTGTTTCCCGATGCAATTTTGGCCCACCCTAATATACATACATATGTACGTACATTGGAGCGTCCCTGCAAACCAAAGTTCCCGAAATCTTAACGAAATCTTTAGGAGTATCTGATTTCTGTAACGATTTTTTTCCGAATCTTCAAAGAAAATTATATGAAGTGGTTGACACGAACTCGTAAAGAAATTTCTGTACGAAAAATAAAGAAAATTCTGAAAAAAGTCTGCAAGAAATTCTTCACATAGCAGCATTATTTTCATTTCTTCACCGATTTTCTTCCGAAATTTCGTAAAAGAATGGAAGTGTACGTAATTTATTTCATTTTAGAAAATTCGGAAAAAAATCGGATGGGATCTTTCCGAATTCGTTAAAATTTCTTTACGATTCAGAATACTCTGAAAAAATGATTTGCAGGGGTATCACACAAAATTTCAATTTGTTTCAAGCGATTTTGAACACACACAAAGAGAGTACATATTTTAAGGCTGTAAATTTTTTTTCTGCACCCCAAAAGAACAGTTAAATCGTGGTTTTTCCATAACTTCTTTAATTCATGTCCGATTTTTATAGGTAATATAACGTCGTAAAGGTACTAGAAGAGCCTACATACAACACCCTGTAATCAGTAGTAAGAAACTTAAAAATACATGGTGAAGGGCGCATCGGTCATATATTTTCCAAGCTTAAATAGCCCAGAACGCCATAGCCAGCTTGAATCTCGAAAATATTTAATTTAACTATATATGCATATAATAATAATTACTAGTAGTTAGCTCTTTTTAATGAAGGTTTATAATTTAACATGGGAAACAAGTTTTCTGGCATACAACATTGCGTACAGGGTGTCGTTCTCAGACAAATGAACATAATTTGCCAAATTTATGAGACATGATAATAGTTTTTTGTAGTTGCTGAAAGCCCTTACAACGATGTAGAATTTATTTATAGAAATCATATTATAGAAAAAAATCGATTTAGTTGTTGTTAGAGGACACCGTAGAAAAATTTGCTTTCCTGAAGAACTCCCCTAGTAAGTGTTTAGAATCGCTTGGAACAAATTGAACATCGTGATACGGTCTAATGCAAATAAGTACATATGTGTGTCTCGCGAATTCATGAACATTGGTTCTTGTCAAACGACACCAAACAAAAGAGTCTTATTTTTTTTTTTGTTATTTGCTACCAGTTTTAGAGAATAATTGCATCCACTTATTTAGATGAATTAAAGATGAAATTGAGTCTGCTGCTCTATTCATTGGACTCCAACAAGCACGTGCAATTGTGGTTATTAACCTACATATATGAATGTATGTACATACATATGTATATATAAATGTGTGTGTGCATCTAAGTTAAAAACCGGTAACAAATTCAAAAATTTTATTCAATGCCAATGAGCAACAGGAGCAAAAAATCTAACCAGTTTTTAATTGACTCGATGATTTCGTCATTTGTAAATGCGGTATTCATTATTTATTAAAGGACTGTTTCAACAAATACAAAAGAAAAAAAAAAAACAAATCATTGATTATCAAAAAGGCAGTTATTATTTTTCAAACCAATATTTATGTAGCTAAAAGCGAATCGGAAAAAAACCAAATTGCTTGCATTTCATGGCGTACCGCTTGTAGGCGCACCGCTCCGATCGAGGCAGCACACATACATTCAAATGCATTACCGGCTTGTCTAATGAAAAGCCCTTGAAATATACCTTTCCTCATTGGAAAAATGTAAACCAGGCGAATTGCTCAGCGCTCAGCGTTTGCCGTCTTGCGTGCCGCTCTAACGCAAGTCGTTAAATGTAATTAGCATAAAAGCTCACATAGCTATGCTTATTCAAATAAAATTCGAGTACTACCTGCTAAGTAAGTACATAAGTATGTAAGTGAAGCAATGCTGAGCGGCGGCGGCGCTGCACTTCTGGCAATTGTATGATAAGCGTCACACCGACCTTCGATAAATAGTGGTGCGCCTGTGTTTACGCAGCCGGTTTTCAAGTTCCGTACGCACATATTTGCCACCCTAAAAGCGCAGTTACCCATGGACGTAAAAAAGGAGAACGTGTCAGCTGACACGATCTATCTATCTTATGGGATCTGTGGGTTAACAAAAACTCACCACCGCATGACCGTGACGTAGACGTTGGCTTCTCTATCTTTCTATCAAGAGGAAACTTGATATACGTACTACGTACTTCTACGCCACGCTACGTACACGTTAGTGGCTAATCGCGCTCTAAGTCTATTCAATAAAACATATGTATTTATACACACTAAAAATACACAAAACTTTTATTAAATAGGTTTGCTCCACAAGCTACTTGTAGAAAAAGTTTCAAATGGTGAGCGTATATCCAAGAAACTCTAAAAACTACTTGTGGAACGCGTATGTGACTTTGAGTGGCTTGTGAAACAAGCCTATTATATTTATTCATATGCATTTGCAAAATACTGGTATTCCCATGTTTAAACAAAAAAATATTTGCAAAATATTTACCTAGTCAAGGAGCTTGTGATTTTTATTTTTTTTTTTTGCACAGCAATTTGATGTTTTTGAAATTTCGCTAACGATTAGTAGATCATTGACATTATTGATGGCAATGAACGAGATCACATGCGTAACCGTGGAAAACCTAGACCCAGACCCAGACCCAGAACGAGGCTAACAATACTGAATTTTAGGCATAAACATTCTATTGGCACAGTTGGCTGTATTACCTTTATTTAGCTTCGAAAGTCATACCATTTAAATATTTGCTGACATCGTCGTTGTGTTTCTAACGTAAAGATAAATAATATGCCGTCTTAAATACACGCCCAATTTTTAACCGACTTTTCTATGTTTGATACCGAATAACTTTGGACCACGTGAACCGTTTTCGATTGTTCTTCTTTATTAGTTTTTATAAGAAGCCTTTTCATGACAGAAATAGACCCGCTATGCTATTCGAAAAAAAAAAATTTTGTTTGAATGCTTGTCGGAATGAACCTCGCTCATGGCGGGTGGGAGTACGAGTCGCTAAGAACTGGGCTACTTTTAGTTTTAAAATCTTAATGCAGGGAAAATTTGAAAGTTTTTAGATATTACAAATGGCTTTTTATGGACATAAAACCAATTTAAACCCAACCCAACTCGGACCTTAAATTCTATAGCCAACAACAACAACTAGATATATGTATTTAAAAAGCAGCCAGATGTGTTAAAAACCCACAATACAATAAAATCGCACCAGGCCGATATCTGTACATTGAAGATATTACACAAAAATGTATATAGGGGGGGGGGGTTCTTATTAGAGCAACAGAAGCCAAATCAACAATTTTTCGAATTATTGTATGTCTGTCCTGCCTGTATGTATGCGTGTACACGCATCACTTAGAAACTGATGCATGGAATTGTATGCAGTTCTCACCGATGTCTAACTTAATATGTGGGAGAAAATATTAGAGAGTTGCCACCTGTTTGAAAATTTCAGTTTAAGTAAATTCATAAATAAGATAAATGTCGCAATATGACCGTCAAAATAAAAAGAAGGCTTACAGCGGAAAATACTTTTGTGGAAGATTGCCACCTGTTTGAAAATTTTAATTTAATTTAGTTGATAAGATAAATAAAATATTGCAATATGGGTATCAAACCGAAAAGATCGAGGGAAGTTTACTTGCTGAAACTAATTTTTTATTCAATTAAATTGATAAAAAATTAATTAAATATTACAATGCGGGTATCCAAACAAAGGTGTCTAAGAGTGTTTACTGTTGCAAAATATATTTGAAGCGGGTCTCCGCCTATTCTCTTTACTTTACCTACTACCGAATCACAATCATAAAAATTAAGAATGCTTCATAAATAAAGCGAAAATTTGTTTGGAAATCTCCCTGTATACATATTGCGTTATAGTGACTAGAAACTAATAGTTGAATCAGCAACAATTTTTTTATATACAAAAAAAATCAATAAACCTAACCTAGGGTTTTAAAAATTACTATAATGAAAAAATGAAAAAAAATATGTTTGGAAATTTTTTGACTAATCAAAAATAAATTTGCAATCAAAAAGTATTTATGGAATGAATAATGATTTTTTTGTTTATAAAAATTTTGGTTTAAAAACCATATTTAGCAAATATAAATTTTTTTTATTGAAATATATATTCTTGAAGTACATGAACATGTATGTATTCTTTATGTATGTATCTGGAAAAATCGTGGGCATTAAAGAGTGTAAGTCAAGTCAAAATATATAAACAATTTTTTATGATAAAAAACATTTCTTTAGAAGTGATTGATTAAAACTTAACAAAATTGACAAAAAAAAAATGAATCATACTTTTATATATCGTAAACATTTTGTAATTTGAATGTTTTGCAGTAAAAAATTTTCAAGCAAAAAAAAACAATAATAATTAAAAATTAAAAATTTAATTACAAATCAAGTTAGGTTTTCTTAATGACTTAAGTGCAAAAATGAAAAAATTTAAAATTTTCAATCAATTAAAAACAAACTTTGCATTCAAAAGATATTATTTATTAAACGAATATTTTTTTTTTTTATAAAAAATTTTGGGGTAAACAACCATATTCGTCTAAAATTAAATTTATAAAAAAAAATATTATATTAAAATATGTACGTAGAAAAATTTGAGGCATTAAAAAGTGTAATTGATTAAGTTCATGTAACGACAAATTGATCTGATCAATTAATTACGCTGATTGATTGATTGATGACTCGATTGTCTAATGCCAAAATATTTTGCAAAATGCAAAAATTATTTTTCTTTCTAAAAAGGAAGCAACAACAATAATCAAACTAAACAAATTTCTTTCATAGATTGAGTCATAAGTAAATAAGTAATTTCTCCGTTTTTTCGAAGTTAGCCTCCAAAATGTAAAAAAGTGTAATGACTGCCCAATAATAACCGAAAAATTGCTCATTTATTGATACATCAAGTTGCGAAATTTCACNTGAGTCATAAGTAAATAAGTAATTTCTCCGTTTTTTCGAAGTTAGCCTCCGAAATGTAAAAAGTGTAATGACTGCCCAATAATAACCGAAAAATTGCTCATTTGTTGATACATCAAGTTGCGAAATTTCATCGACAAATTTAAAAATCACGTTTTACTTAGTTTGCAATATAAAATATGTAAATTCAAATGTACTGTTTTTCGTGATTTAGTAATAACATTTACTTTTTTTACTAACATTTTAATTACTCGTAACTTNGTAACTTGTAATAAAAAAAAAAAAAAAAAAAAAAATCATATCACGCAAAATATTACATGCGCCTGCTTGCACTTGTCGCAGTGCGCGTTCCAAGAATTGTTATCGCACTCATTAGGGGCGCACTGTCGGCAGTCTGGGCATTTGTCACAATTTCACTAAATCGCCACTTAAATCAGCTCAATGCCTAATAAGCGCCCAACACCCACATATGTATGTTTGTATGTATTTAGTACTTAGTACTTAGTGACTTACCCACGCGCAAAGTTCCCATTATCAACTCAACGACGCCCGTAAGGAAGGTGAGAAGTATGGCAAATTCGATGGGTTTGCCCACCGTGAACTGCAAGCTGACCAGGGCCACCAAACTGGTGGGTCCAATAATTACTTTGTTAATCGAACCAAATATCAGATATACAAAGGAGCCCAGAAAGGCCGAGCAGAGGCCATAGCGCGCCGGTAGTCCCGCCAATAGGGCGCAAGCAATACTCTCGGGAATTATGGTCAGGCCCAGGGTTATGCCAGCAATTAAATCGCTCATCGCCCATTCGGTGTTGTAGTCGCCGATCCAGTTGAGTATTTCCAGCCGATTTCGCAGCGCCTTCTTCACCTTGCCCGCTGCTGTGTGTGGCGTTGAACTGCGTCGCAGCGCTTCGCTGGTGAAGGGTTTCGCCGATTCCATAATTATTTGTGTGGCATCCTGCGGCAACATTTGCGACTTTGCCGAATTGTCGCACTTGTCGTAGGATGTCATTTTTATTTTGCTTTTTAATAAATAATTATTTTTTTTCTTTCTAAATAATACAAGTGACCGTTTTCTTGGCACTTAACAGCCTTTTTCAATTTTTATCTAAACCTTTGCACTCGTCAAGCACTTACTGTTCGTTCACTTATTCATTTGATCTAAGTTCTACATAAATAATCTCTTGAAAATCTGTATCTTTTTTCACATCACAAAAATTGCCTTGGGTGATGCGGCACCGTTCCGTTCTGATCACGCGTCGTTTTGCTTTTGAACTTTGAGGCGGGTGGTGATCTGCCGCTCTGTGTCGTTATGCGCGCCGTCTGACCTGGTCCCGCTCGATTGCGCTTGGCTGCCGAGCCGATCGTGGCATCAAATAATCGCTGCTGCTGCTGCTGTTTTACTTACTCGTCTTACTCGTCGCCGCTGCCGCTGCCGCCACGTCTTCTTATATTGTTCTTTGTTATTGTCGTCGCTTTTGAGAATTCTCTGTCTGTCTGTCTGTCTACCGTATTTGCTCTAAATATAATCGCGTGTTAATGGGATCTTAAAACAGCGTAGCCGTTGACTATTTGCACCCGCTGCTGTCTCTCCCTATTCGTCTGTTTTAGCTCACTTGAAAGTATCAATTGTATTAAGTATAGGTAAGCATGTATTTGAGATATAAGCGACGATTTAAGTGAACGCGCGCGATATCGACGCCGATGGCAATGTGACGGCCGCCGAGTAAAGAATAACCCAAAATGCTGCAGGTTCATAAATTTTATACTTCCACTAAAAGTGTGATAAATTGTAATGTTGTGAATGTGTTAACGATAATTGCCGTCGATTGGTACTAAGGTATTGTCACTTGATAGGCAAGTAAATAAATAAATTAATTCATTCATCATTGTTTATCTTTTTCGATACAGCCGATTGTACATTTGCAACGTTGCTGAACCCCGCGTTCTTCCATCGGCATTTATTTATGTAAGCTCGTTGCTCTTTGCGGAAAGTTTAGGAAACAGTTCACTGTATCTGATGCGTTTCATGTGAGTGTCATTTTTTGGAATGATTGAGAGATAGAAATACTACCTGCTTGATAAGCTCGATTGGGTTGAGTGATTATTGGGCAATGAAGCGCGGAACTTTTGGGTAATTACCAGGAAGATGGGGCTTACATATATATGTTGGTTGTTTAAATTAAATGTGTTGCTTGGCGATTCTGCCTACTTCAATGTTTTTCCAAATGACGCCTACGATCTTCCTAACCTCTTGCTATCGCATCAATGGTTCGAGTCAGGATTAAGTGCGCATTGATCCTTTTCGGTGCCGTTACTGGGGCTTCATCCACCTCTCCTGTCTGTTAAACGTCATTGCGAGCACTCAGCGCTTTTCCCAGCAACTCCATGTGGATTACTTGCAGTCACCATTAACAAACATTAAAACAAATTTTATAAGCTGTATAAAAAATCAGGTTCTGATGATCACAAAAAAAAAATATCTGTCTTATTCCACAGAAATGTGGAAGCGTTTATTTTCAAAAGTCACTAACGACCAATAATTAATTATTTTGACAAATATAAAATAAATGAGGTAATTGATTGGAAATGTTTACACATAACAACCACAAAAGCCTTTATTATTATATTTGTTTTAGCTACTAACTAAGCAAATAAATTGAAGTTAAAATTCACATGCACCCTCTATGCACAGGCTATCATCAATCAAACGAAGTTGACAAAAAACTTGATTTCTAATACATGAAAGTGGCTCGTGGGAACGAAATGCTGATAAGATTTATTTTTACGTGTCACATTTTATTATTTTCATATACACAATTACAGCTTTTGGAAAGTTACTTTGGACAGTTAAAGATAAATATATCTGGATATTATAAATTTCCCGACAGATAGGGTTTAGATTTCTTAAGATCTTGAGGAGACAATCAATTAGTAGTTAAAAATTGACTGGAGAAGAAGTTGAAATCGAACTTTTTCTCAGGTTGCAAACACAATATTTTCCATGCAAAGAAATGCCCTTATAAATACTTGGAAGTGCTGAGAAACAACGTTGGAAATTATTTATTGCTTCAAACACTTCCGTTTTCTTTCGCGAATCTTACAGATAACGACATTAATTTGATGGCCCAAAGCTGCAGTAAAATTTATACAAAATATTTTTCTTAATTAAGTTTAAATTACTCCTAATACTATTATTATAAAAATCGCAAAATTCTCAAGAGCTGCCTCTCAGACAAATTTTTGAAGCTTTCTTATAAGTTGATAAGTGGTAGTTGGAAACAAATTTTCGCAAAATTTTAAATGATAAGATNTGCTTCAAACACTTCCGTTTTCTTTCGCGAATCTTACAGATAACGACATTGATGTTATGGCCCAAAGCTGCATTAAAAACTTATACAAAATATTTTTCTTAATTAAGTTCAAATTACTCCTAATTCTATTATTATAATAATCGCAAAATTCTCAATAGCTGCCTCTCAGCCAAATTTTTGAAGCTTTCTTATAAGTTGATAAGTGGTAGTTGGAAACACATTTTCGCAAAATTTTAAATGATAAGATTAGTAAATATTTAAACATGTTGAAGAATTGTTAAAAATAAATTTGCACATGCCCGATATCTGACAAACGATCAGAGTGAAAATAATCATTACTCTCGAGATCTTGACATAAAACAAACATGCTTAACAAGCTGGAAAAAGAATGTTTGTCTTGAGAGATTATTTTGTCTGATTTGACATGGTTTTAATTTAACGAGTCTATTTTTATATAGAACGAAAACAAAGAACAACAAAAAATATCGTTAGAGAGATTGCGTAGTTTCGATAATGAAATGAATATAGCTTATAGCACATTTGGGAAATATGTATGCGACTGCGAAGAACCAACCACCTTTGGCTAGAAACACCTTACCATTGTTAATATCCAAATTTTTTCTCTGCCTTCATTTAACTAAAACGAGTTCTACATATGTATATGTCCAATAGTAGTCTGCATATCATAGTCATAGGTTCTCGCACTCTCTATCTTCTCGATGATGCTGTCTCGAAACAGAAAGAAAAGTCAGGCAGTGTTCTACTAGCTTTGAGCACACCTTGGCCTAGCCTAGGGCCCTTATTTGTGCTTAGCTATCAGAATAGATGTTTACCTTCCTTGCCGACGTGGCGGAAGCTAATCAAACTAAAAAACACTGGAAGATTTTGAGGTTTGACCGCCATTGATTCCAAATTTTCGACTAGCGCAGTCTTCTCTAGTGCATTCCACTAGACGGGGATTTTATAAAAGTTCATGGGTTTAGCTATGATTTAATTGAACCAGGAAATAACCTAAAGTAGGAGACCCCGACTTCTACGAGTTGTTCCCTTGAAGTAGTAGAGAGGCGCTGATGTTTTCTTTGCTCATTCCATAATTGTAGGCTTCTTTGAAAGTTTCACAACTAAAGGCCTGTACGCAGCTCTCAAGAAAAGCAAAAACTCCATATAAAATGACTCACAAGAAATGGCTAAGAAATTTTCTTGTGTCAAATTTCCTTAAGGCGCTACTCAGTTCTTAAGAAATTTGCTACGCTTTCTACTACGGTTAGGAAACCTTTACTTATTCGATCATCTTCCGAGCTCATGGCATTGCAAGGGTGACTTTCGTATATAATAAGGCCTTCGGCGTCCAATGCCTTGCGGCCCTCGCCGATATCAAGGCGGTCTTGAGCAAAGAGTCCGGACACTCGATAATTGTACAGCTGGACTCTTATATTAGTTGTAAGGTTGGTGTATCCTGACTCGCAAAGTTTAGGGGGAATTTAAACGCCGAGTGTTCAGTGTTTCCTCCGCTGAGCAAGGTAGCTGCTATCCCTGAGGATGTAACCACTCGTGCTACATTTTTATCCTTGCGGAACTCTGCCAGTAGTAAATTCAGCAGCAACGTCTTGCCAGTTCCCCTGGTCACCGCTCTCCACGCGGTTCTTAATATTAAGGAAAATTAGCCTTTGCTCGGCAAATGTTTCCGTTCCGTTTCGGTGACGAGCCGCCAAGTTCGTGGTGTAATAATTCAACTCCCTAAATAATCCATTGAACAGTTCTCCCGTTCGCTGTGGAGTGGGCATGATGAAAATGTACATCCGTTTTCCTCAATTAGTCTCAGAGCTTCGTTGGAATATATGTCGTCATGTGCTGTTGCTTGAAAACTGTGGACAATGTCTTCAAAAAGCAGTATCATACTTTTCCCACAGTTGCAGGGGGGTTTGAAAGTTCGCAAAGCATTCTAAAATCTTTCCCTGTTATGTTTAAATATTTCATTTAACTTGTTAAAATTTCTAAGCGGGTGGTAACTCTCTTCAAAAATATTTTCAAAAGAAAACTTTCTTGACCATCTCCAGTTTGATACCCATATTAAAACATTTCGGTTAACGTTTTAAGTAAATTGATTTTAAATTTTAAAACCATCTTCAAAAATATTTAGAAATAAATTTGTCTAAACCTCTGTGATTTGGTACCCATACTAAAATATTTGATTTTAATTGTTAATTAAATGAATTTCAAGTTTATGAAAAGGTGGCAGCTCTCTTCAAAAATATTTTTGAAATAAATAGGTTTTGAACCCATTTTAATAAATAGCTGATTCAACCGTTCAAAAAAATGGCAACCCCTTAAAACATATATATATCCTATATAATCCCGCTCATAGCCTATAAGTGTGCCAAATTTAATTGAAATACGTCAAGCGGTTTTAGCATGAAAGAGCAACAAACATTTACACTCACTCACTCACAAACTTGCACATTTATAATATTAGTAGGATTGTTTAAATCTTTAACGGGTGGCAACTTTCTTCGAAAATATTTTCGAAAGAAAGCTTTCTTGACCGTCTCTTGGTTGATACCCCTATTAAAAAAATTTTGTTTATTTTTTAAAGCAAATTGATTTTGAATATTTTAATAGGTGGCAACCCTTCTCAAATACAACTAGAATTAAATTTGTCTTAAATATCTCTCATTTGGTGCCCATACTAAAATATTTGATTTAAGTTGTTAATAAAATTGATTTTAAGTTTATGAAAAGGTGGCAACTCTTTTCAAAAAAATTGGTTTTGAATTTCTTTTGTTTGACACCCACATTGTTGTAATATTTTACCTAACTTAATAAATAGTTAATTTTAACTTTTGAAAAAAGTGGCAACCCACTTCTAAAAATAAGTAGTCTATATGCTAATCCAGGTCATGGCCCATAAGAGTGCAAAGTTTCATTGAAATACGTCTAGCCGTTTCAGCGTGAAAGAGCAACAAACAAACACACTCACTCACTCACAAACTTTCACATTTATTATATTAGTAGGATTGTAGTAGACACACATGACCTCTTACATAGGTACAATTATAGCCCGAATGAACTTTCCTTTAAAGCCTTTGAATACATACCTACATACATTTATTAATTTACCGACGAATCGGGCAAAGAGATTCAGTCTGCACATTTGTTGCAAATGGTATTCTTTGAGAGAGCTG